GGGTGTGCTGAGACAGCAATTGAGACTGAGCGTGGTGGCCTGTGCCTGTAATTCCAGTTCTTGGGAGGCTGTAAACAGGAGGATTGTTATGAGTCTGATCTAGTAGTGAGACCCTGAACGCCCTGTAGACTCTTCCCTAAAATAAACAGTGCTGATGCTCAAACCCAAGCCACTGAACATGCTAAGCTGGGAGTTTCGGATTAGCCTGTTTGGGGATGAAAACTACCTTTGTGATTTGGAGAAATGACTCTATTTCCTACTGCATAAAATGAAGACATGAATGCAGAAATTTGCTTTGAGGCATAAATAAGACAGCATGTCTAAATGCTCAGCACAGTGCCAAGCATTCTCAATAAACATCTTCTTAATATTGTTATTGTCACAGTTTATTAATATGCTTCTGTTTTATTGTTCTCATTGCTGAAACAAAATGCTCACACACAAAGCTAAAAGAGTGAAGATTTTTTGGAGCTCATAGTGTATAGAGGTTTCAGTGTAGAGTTGGCTGGCCCCAAGGCAGGGTAGCATGGCAGAAGAGCAGGAAGAAAGTAGCAAGCGGCATGTGACCAACAAGGACAAAGCAACCCTCTTTCTGTGTCTTATATTTTAAGCATTTGTCTTATATTTGCTACCTCCTTTAGGGAAGGTAGCACTCACACTCTTAATCCTAGCATCACACCATGATCCCAGCATCACATCTGGATCCCAGCATTGGACACACTAGACCCAGCCACCTACCTCTCAAAAGCCACCTATGACTGCATGAGGCATTGGGGTGACGTCAGATAGAAGTCATGAAAAATTATTTGAAACTTTGATGAGGGCATCTTTTTATAGTTCTATTTCATATCCTGTTATTATCTTCTTGTATTCTAAAGGTATACGAGTGCAGTATCCTTTTTCTTACACACATTTCCCCTTTGTGTTTGATACTTCTTACATCAGAAATCATTTTTTGGGGGCCGGGGAGATAGCTCAGTAGAATAAGTGCTTTCCTGGCAAGCACAAGGGCCTGAGTTCAATCCCTGATTCTGCAAGAAAAAAAAAAAAAAAAAAAAGAAATCATTTTTTGTAAAGAGCCTCCACCTAACTCTGCATTCTTGGACCTTCTTCCCTAATTTTGCTCCCTGAGTCATCATGGTTTTCATTTTGGTGTTTTCTACTTTAGCTTTTAAAATTATGCAGGAGTTTGAAATATAGCGATCCATTAAATGTTATTGTATTTCAATATTTTGAAAATATTTTCTGACCTTTATGAAAGTGGATACCATGCTACAAAGAGTCACAGACTTAGATCTTTCAGTATTATGCCACCAAAATCCATTCATATTCTTGAACATAGCTGTTTCATTAATTTCCACTGAAACTTTCTATTGTTTAATTATCCACAATTTATCCATTTCATGTTGTGTATAGTTAATTTTCTTCTTTTTTATTTGCAGTACTGCTTTGCACATTTATATATGTGCATCCTAATGCATATTCTCAAAATTCTCTGTGGCATTTACTTAGAGATAGAATTGTGTTAAAAGTATATAAATATGCACTTTTCCTATACAATGCTGATTTATTTCCAAAAGTAGTTGCACTCAAGCTCTACAGATCTTAAGAAATCCTTTGATTCATATATTTTATAATTGACATTATTAGACTTTCTTAAACCTTATTCGCTCTTTGTATTTCCCTGTGCATTAATGAGCTTGTACTTTTCTCTGAGATTTATGGTTTTTTTTTTTGTATTTTATGAAAAGGTCTACAGGGTGTTCAGGATCTCACTACTAGATCAGACTCATAATGATCAGCCTGTTTACAGCCTCCAAAGTGCTCAGATTACAGGCATGCGCCACCAAGCTCAGCCTCAATTACCATCTCAGTCTGCCCAGGGTGTGGGGCCAGCAAGGTAGTCCTGGGAATCAAACTCACGGCTCCTGCTCCTACTTGCAGACACTTTAATCTAGTGAGTTATTTGCCTGGCCCTTATTTTTAAGTTTACTTGTAAATAAAATTCCCTTCCTGTGAAGTGCCATTTATCTTATTTTAAATTTTATTTTATTTTAAAGAATAAGACAAAAAAAAGAGTAAGACAAAAACAAAAGGGAAAACAAATAGCAAAAACAAAGACAGAGGGCCGGCCAAATAGCTCAGTGGATTAAAGTACCCACTTAGGTAGAGGCAGGGACCGGGGTTCGATCCCCTGGCCTACTGTGCCGGCCCTGCACCTGGAGTGTGCTGACAGGGTGACTGAGACTGGGTGTGGGGGTGTGCACCTCTAATTCCAGCACTCGGGAGACTGTAAATGGAAGGATCACTACTAGTCTGATGTACACAGTGAGACCCTCTGCACCTTGTCCTAAATAAAAACAAAACAAACAACAACAACAACAACAACAACAACAACAACAACAAAATAAATACAGACACAGAGTAACACAGAGCAATACATATGGTACAGATTTTCAAAACAAAATAGCAAATTAACAATGGTTGTTGTATTACATATTTTTATCGTCCGATCTGTTGCTCAGCTTAGCAGATATAGGTAGGCAAATAATTGAACGTGAATGCTTGTTTTCAATAAACTTTATTTTTTTCTTGTTTATTTCTTTTCTTCTTTTTTTCTTATTCTTCTTGCTTTTAAAATTTATTTTTAAAAGAGCATAATTATAATTGACAAGACATTGGAAATGGTACACATTTAAAAGAACAAGATAAGTATTCAACTGAAATATTTGTATTGCTCATTGCTGTCTTCGATGTAGTTGCTCAGTTTATAGATACTAGCGAAAGCATTAGTCAAAGTGAAAATGTTAAATATCAACTGCTATTTTCAAAGGCGTGATGGAATTAGTAGTACAATCATCTCAGCTATCCTGAATATATATACTTGCATGATTTTTCCCCTTCCTTTTTTTCATATCTTTTATCCTTTCCCTCATCTTTGTTGTTTATTCCTTATGTTCTGTTTCTTTCCATTTTACTATATCTATTATACCTTTCAGATTTTTATTTACTCTTTCAGGTTCTTATACTAGGGAAACAATACAATATTTACACATGTGGGTCTGATTTATTTCACTAGAGTATAGCCTGCAATTCCATCCATTTACCTATAAAGACTTCTAGTTTGTCTCTTTACAGCTGAGTAGTACTCCATTTGATAAAAAAAGACCACATCTTTTTATGTATTCATCACTTGATGGGCATTTGGGGTGTTTCCAAGATTTGGCTATGACAAATTGTATTGCCATAAACATGGGTGCACATATATCACTGTGGTGTGATGTTTTCAGTTCTTTTGGGAAAATACCCAGAAGGAACATAGGTGGGTTGAATGGTATTTTCAGTCTTAGTTTTTTGAGGAGTCTCCACACTGATTTCCATAGTAATTGTACCAGTCTTCATTCCCACCAACATTGGAGAAGGGTTCCTTTCTTCCCACAGCCTCTCTAGAATTTGTTATTAGTTGATTTCTTTATGACAGCTATTCTGTTGCAAAGAGATGGTATCTCAATGTTGTTTTAATTTGCATTTCTCAAATGACACGTGCTTTGTTACATTTTTTCACGCATTTATTTCCTAATTATATTTCTTCCACTGAGAAATATGTGTTCATCTCAGATGCACAGTTTTGGATTTGGTCTTTGAAATTTGGGGGTCTGATTTTTTTTGTTGTTTCCCAATTTGTGGGTTGTATTTTCACTCTGTTGGTGATTTCTTTTGATGTGCAGAAACTTCTCAATAAGATGA